TGCTGAGAGATGGAACGGGCTCAACGGCACCTCACAGCAACAACAATGCTCTGTGACGTAAACGTTAATATTTACTCAGGTGAAATTCACCATAAATAAAATAGGTGACAAGGAAGATACGTTCACAAGTCTCAGAATCTTGAACCAGCCCTCTTGTTCATTACGGGGCAACACCTCAACCTAAGAATATCATGGGCAAAGAATAAACCAGTCCTTTGGAGAAAAGGGAATGTAAGTGATGGATAAATAGGGAAATGTGTCCTCCCTCCCATGTAGTCAAGAAACGGCAAAACTGAGAGAAGCTCACCTTTTTATTCATCAACTTGGCCAACTTGGGCTGGTTGGGGGGAGACTGCGCATCTCCTGAAACATTGAATAAGGAAGCCCCAAGGAGGCGCAGGAGTTACGCATTCAGCTACTAAACAGCCTGATACTTCATGGGTGAAAGGTGTGTCAGTGTGTGTTCATAAAGTCGATAACCTTGGAAACTCTCTGAGGAAACTCTACCCTGTCTTACAGGATTACTACTGTGTTTCCCTGAAAGTAAGACATCCCCCCAAATAAGACCTACTTACAGTTTTGCTTCTCGCTAAAATATAAGTCATCCCCCCAAAAATAAGACCTCCCAGAACATAAGACCTCCCTGACAATAAGGCTCCTGAAGTTCCCTTAACTCTGGACTCTGGACCTTAGCGGCAGGCACCACCGCGCAGTTCACTGTTGGCCGCAGCGCAGTAGGAGCAGACAGGAAGTGAGAGTAAATGTATCATAGATTATGAGTAAATGTACCATAGATTGTTGTACATGGAAACAATGGTAGTAACAAGAAATTTTTGATACTGTAGGATTCAGTTTGTCTGGTTATGCTGGTTTGTGGTGACACTACTACACTACTACCGTACCGTATACAGGTAATAAATTTCCTTTTTTGTTGTTCAACAATAAATGTGTACCTTATTCTTCTTCATGGAAAAATAAGATATCCCCTGAAAAATAAGACCTAGCGCATCTTTGGTAGCAAAATTAATATAAGACACTGTCTTATTTTCGGGGAAACAGGATATGAATCAGAATCGACTCAGTAGCAGTGGACTCACTCCTTACTTCAGACCCTTTGGGAGGCAATTGGACAGAATCTAAAAAAAATGAATACTTAGTGTCCTTTGCCTCAGCAACTCCACTAGTTTTTCATGACACAGGGACTGGTTTGAATATATGCAGAAAAAATAAGAGCAACATATAAATGCTTGTCATGGTAGCCTGTTACTAAAAGTGGACAACTAAAAGCAACTTATTTGCCCATCAAGAAGAGAATGGCTGAAAAGTTGTGGTATATCGAGTCAATGGACTACGATGTAGCTGTTAAAAAACTGCTGGACATTGCTGTTTCTTGGGGGGGGGCACGGTATGGCAGGAAAGGTGGGGTGGATGGGGAGCTTATGACAATGAGTAAAAAAAAGAAGCAAATGTTTTAAAATTGATTGTGGTGATGATGGTACAACTCTTCTTAATATGATTGAACGATTGAGTTGCATGATATGTGAAATATATGCCCATTAAACTCTTAAGATTGCTGGAGACATAGGGGAAGAGATAACATTTTTAATAAATGGTGGTGGAAAAATTGGATCTCCACCTACAAAGAATGAAACAAAGGCCCTACCTCATGCCCTGTACAAAAACGAATTCAAGATGGATTAAAGACCTAAATAAAAGCCCTGGAACCATGAAGACCATCAGTGAAACACCAGGGACAAAACTAAGGGCCTGATACAAGACATAAATGTTTAATAAACATAATGAAAAATACCCACGTGATAGAACACAAAATTGAGGAGTGGGACTGTCTAAAAATATGAAATGTATGCACAACCAAAGATTCACCCAAAGAGTTAAAAGGGAACCCACAGATTGGGGAAAATATTAAAAAAATGATATGTCAGATAAAGGGCTAATTTAAAAAAATTATAGAAAATGACAACTTAAAACATATTATTTGGGATTGAATACAGATATGACATCATTCCACACTTCAATCCTGCCAAGTAGAATTGTACATTTGCTACCACAGGTTTCCAAACAGTGTTTTTAACATGGTCTCCTTGACATTGTCTCCCTTCGACCTCACCACCACCACGGGACTACCTTATTCTACCTGCTGTCCCTCTCGGTTCACCAGTCCTGAGTTTCGTAAACCGAAACACAGGGAAGCATCTAACACAGCCTCCAGAGGGTGCTTTCCCTTGACAAAACACCTCTGAGATACACTCGACCGTGAACAAGCAAGAGCTGAACAAAACAATACACACCAAAAATACAGGACATTTTGGAAAACAGATCAGGTCCAGCCTGCATCCGAGCGGGGAATCTGTGGACAAAGTTTGAACTGTTTGGATTTATGCCTTTGATCTTCTATCGTCCTCTCTCCCACGTGTAACATCTTACTAAGAAAAATACAAATAACCCAATTAGAAAATGGGCACAAGCCATGAATAGATACTTCACTAAAGGTGACATCCAGGTGACCAACAGCCATGGGAGGAAATGTCCGAATTTATTAGCGATAAGAGAGATACAAATGAAAACAACCATGAGATACCACCTCACACCGACACTCCCAGCAAAGTTCAGAAGGAAAGAAGATAATAAATCCTGGAAGAATGAGGAGAGTTGGAGCACATTGCTGATGGGATCGTAGAACTGGACAGCCCCTGTGGAGATCAGTATGGTGCGTCCTTAAACTAATACAGGTATTTTATGACCTCGCCATCTCTTAGGTGCATATACCCTAAAGAGCAGAGCACCGAAGACATGTGCACGTCTATGTCTATCGCAGCAATTTTTATCATAAAAAGATGTTGTAGTTATGACACCCTGATTATAAAGAAAAGAAAGGATACCAGGAGGGGAAGGGGAGGTAGTAAGGGGGAATGGATCAGAGGGAGCCACATATGGCCTCCTCTCTGGGGGACGGGCAGCAGCGGGGTGGGTGAGGGGAGGCGCCGGACAGTGTAATGTAAGATACAATAATAATTTATAAATTATTAAGGGTGCATGGGGGAAAGGGAAGGGGAGGGGGGAAAAAAAAAAAGGAAAATGAGCGGATTCCGGGTACCCAAGAGGCAAGAGAATTTTGGGAATGATGAGGGCAACAAATGTATAGATGTGCTTTACACAATTGATCTATGTATTGTGATGAATTGTATGAGCCCCAATAAATTGATTAATTAAAAAAAAAAAGGAAAGGAAAAATGGTTTTCTCTTCAAAGGATAAGCCTTTAAGGACTACGAAGAGGCCAGGGTGGGGGGTAGGTGGGTGGTGGTGCGTGGTGGAGAGGGGGGAGGGAAAGGACAGGAAAGTGCGGAGGGAGGGAGCGTGGGAAAAGAGGAAGGACAAGATGGAACAACAAGGAGCCACATATTCAGGAGTTTGAATGGAAGACTGTTACTGGTCTGATTGGATGAAATGGGCAGTGACAGGTAGAAGTTGGTCCTTCTCTGTCAGTATTATGTTCCACAAGTGAAAGGGAAAAGGAAAAAACAAATTTATAAAAACAATCAGATCCAACCATAGCAGCATAAATACAGATGTTAACTTTGTTTTTAAAAAGAAAGAGCAAAAAAAAAAAAAATAGAGCAGGGTCACCGTCTTAAAGACCCTCACCCTCCCCGCCCCCATCTCAACACTGGCCGGAGGGGCTGTACAAGGAGAAAGCGTCAAACTGAGGGGACTTGGGTTCTTCCGTGACAGACAAGTTGGCTTCAAACAATAACCTTAAAAATTTTTTTTAAAAAGCCAGAGATGCGTATTAGCCTGGCATGATCTCCAAGATTTTTACTAGTAAAACAAGTGAAATTGTAACACGCGAGTGGGATGCACGGTACCACCCTATGTTGAAAAGCAAGGCTACGACTCAAGGGTTTACAGCCTGCACTCAGATAGGTAAACGCAGAGGAAAAGATGTGACAGGTTATGCCCAGGGCTCCTGTGGGGTTGGCAGTTGCGGAGGGTTGGGGGGCACGGGGGCATGGTATGCCAAGGCTGGTCAAGAACATTCCCTCAAGAATGTGTAATGTAATTCTTTGCCGGAACACAATCAGCATCTAGAACTGTTACCTCGGAGCGCCTTGCCCGGAGAAGGGTTGTCGAATTCTCATTCTCAGAGAAGGACGGGTCGGACCTTCACAAACAGTTATAGTCTTAGACACTCAGGGGGCACGTGCTCCCCTGCCCTACAGGGTTGCTATGAGTTGGCATCGACTCGATGGCACTGAGGTTTGTTTTCTTGCTTTTCTGGGACACTTCCCACCCCCAAACAAAGCCCCTGCCATTGATTTTGACTTACTGAGACCCTCTAGGACAGGGGAGCACTACGCCTGTGGGTTTCCAAGGCTGTCATCTGTACGGAAACTGGTGGCCATATCTGTCTTCCCAGCAGAGAGGCTAGATTTTTTCCATTAGCAGCCAAATGCTAACTACTGCCCCGGCTCCTCTGTAATGTCTTCCAGAACACAGCAGGCACATGCCAGCCGCTTTCCATCCTGGGGCCTTGGCCTTTCTTTGTACTTCATTAATCAAGAGCAGGGGTCTGAGAGGTCAGACCCTCAAGTGAGGAGTGAGACCGGGACAGTCCTGGAGCTGCCCTGGAGGCCTCTGACAAGCGCAGACTCCCCTGAAGATTCGGAACTTCCTTCTGTGAGGTGATACCAGGACACTAAGAAGGTCGCAGGGCAGGGGCGGGCTCTCGGGTCACAAGGAAGCGCTGGTCCCCAGCCCGGCCCGCAAGGGACAGCTGGCCCACACGTGGCAGTTTCAATATCATTTCTAAACACTGAGGAGTCCTGTGGGTGCGTCCTGGCCCGGCATCCCCACTGTCTAGCTTTTATGATTTCAGCTCCTGTTTTATGGCCTCACGACCTTGCTGGCCCAGGCCCTGCCTCTCACCCCTGAGCAGTCACATTGCCCTAGAGAAGGCTGATGGAGGAAGAGACAGACTCACCTGGGGCTGAGCTGGCTGTCTGCACCTGCCATCCTGGGCTCTGGCCCTGCTGGGTCTGGGAGCAGCTCTCCTCCGGGGCTGGGGCCGTGTCCAGTGGGGGAGCCGGGCCTGAGCAGGAAGTCTGTGTGATCCAGCCGAATGGGGAAAAGAAAAGTGAAACTATTTACTCCGATGAGAGACTGGCTCCACAGGTCGGCTGCTTCCCTCTCCAACTCCAGTGTGGCTCTGGGCCACAACAAAATGTGACAACAGGGATCCCTGGGAGGGACACAAGTCCAGATCCTGAGGACTGGGAAAGGGACTGTCCCTGAAGGGAACCAGCCCAGCCACCGTCAAGGAGCCAAACTCAAAAATCAAACTCTCTGCCATCAAACCTACCCTGATCCATAGTGACCTTCAAGGACAGAGTAGAACTGACCCTGTGGGTTTCCATGACTGTCATTTATTACAGGAGGAGCGGCTAGTGGTTTCAAACTGCTGACCTGAGGGTAGCAGCCTAATCGTGTGTGTGCGCGCGCAAAGACAGAAGCAAAATCATCTGGGTGAACACAATGTGCCAGCGACTCCTGCTTTCTGAGGGGTGGCTAGTGTACACGAGGGTCGAGGGGCTGTCTCTGCTGCCCCCTCCCCTTGCCTAGATGGCCACGTGAGAAGAAGGGAGTCCAGACACATCGGCCCTTCTCTGGCCTCTGGGTTGCCCTTCAGACTCAGAGCTGGAGGGAGTTAGAGGCTTGGAAAGCAGCTAGGTTCAGAGAGAGGCCAGTTCTAGACCCGGGAAGAGGAACGTTATGTGTGCCCAGAGTTTTCATTCATATTGGGACCAACTTTCCACAAAGGAGAAGCAGAGAGCCCTGGGGGACTGACTCCATCCCAGTACAGACGATGGAAGGTGTGGCAGGGGCCACTTGGTGGGTGGGTGGGGCACTGGGCAGAGAGATCCTTCAGTGAGTGAAAACACGACGTCTCTCTCTAGACCCGAGCGCCGCCCGCCCCCCTCGTGAAGTGTGAGTTTGGGTATTTCTTCTGAGACAGATCTGTTTGTTCTCGGGTGGTCCAGGTACTTTCAGTATTCTTTGCCAACATCATAATGCAAATGTAAAGATTCTCCTTCAAGTCTTCCTTATTCAATGTCCAACTTTCACCTGCATATGAAGCAATGGAATATGCCACAGCTTGGATCAGGCGCACCTTCGTTCTCAACGTAACATCCTTGATTTTCAACACGTTAAAGAGGTCTTGTGCTGCAGATTTACCCAGTGCAATGCATCTTTTAATCTCTTTTTTTTTAAATTAAAAATCACTTTATTGGGGGCTCTTACAACAATCCATACATCAGTTGTATCAAGCACATTTGTACATAGGTTGCCATCATCATTTTCTAAACATTTGCTTTAGCTCCTCTGTTCTCCCTGCTACCGCCCCACCATCCCCCCCCTCCCACCATGACCCCATGGGTCTAAGAGAGAATGGGGGCCACAGCTCTGGCCTACCCTCTGGCCCACCTGTGTAGCCAAGACAAGGAGGGGGTGGAGTCCTGGGCCTACGACCAGGTAGGAGAAGCAAGTGGAGGTGGAAACATGGAAGGGTGAGGGGTGAAGGAAGAGAGGGGACTTTGGGGACACAAGAAATCCGTGGCCACCACCCTTGTAAGTCTGGGGACACTCCAAGTACACCCACATTTCTTGCACAGTTCATGGGAGAAGGAGGCTGCCTTCACCCCTTCCACCCTGACCCGACTCGGGACCAGTACCTGGGGTGGGGCCTCAGGAAGGATGGGAGACCTAGCGCCCAGAGTTGACCGGAGGACAGACATTTCCTGAGCCCTGCTTAAGTGGTTAGCACCCCACACCTGGAGATCCACTGATTGCACCCTGAGCATCTTCCCCACAACTACTCACCCAGCTAGTGAGGCCAGCCACAACACACCCTGGGGGACACAAAACAAGGAAGTACCCCACCCCCACCCCCCACCCCCGGTCATTTACAAGGCCTTCCTCAGGGATGAAGCCAGAGGAGCTTTTAGACCACTCAACCCTCACCAGCTCAGAATCCCTTTCCCCACCCACTCCAGCTGTCTACTCCTCCCTCCAGTGGCCAGGGCCGGTATCCCAGTCTCCTTAGACCTGCTCAGTCTGGTTGGGGAAATCGAAACTGATCCCTTCCCGGGCACCCCCACTTCCCGCCCTGCTTAGAGACAGGCGGACACACACTCAAAACAGCCCGAAATGGGCACTGTGGTCGGTTCCGACTCGCAGGAACACTGTGCACCCTGGTGCCACTCATCTTTCTAAGTCAAAGGGCGCCCACGGAAGGATTGAGTTCGGAGATAGTTCTTCTATCTGGCGGTGGCGCGGCTCCGTTCTGCCGCTCGGAGCCCGGTGGCCCCCCGAACATTAGGGATCTTCTGCGCCCACCTCCAGGCTGCGCCTCTCTCACCTGACCCCCTGGGTTGGAGGGCCCCAGCGTCAGGACCGGCATCAGCTGCAGACAATCCCGGGGGCTGCTCCACGGACAGCGACTCGACTCCATTACAAGCCATTGGAAGTGTTGAAACTCGTCCGGCAGCCATGCATTTGATGGCCGGGAAGGCCGTTTAAGAGAAGGTGCTGCAAGCCGTGCAGTGGGTGCCAGGAAACCCTGGCCTCCGCACCATTTCCTGGGTGTGGTCTTCACCTCCCTCTGCCATCAAGGCTTCTCGGATGCTACAAGGACGCTTAGCTGCGCCCTCCTGTGCCTGAGTTAGGCCGTAGGCAGCTGTGTTCGCAGTATGATCCAGAACTCCGTGCTCTCTGTGTGAGACGGTAGTTGGGTAGGAGGTCATGCCTCCTTGCCAGAAGCCACATTCTCTGGACCTCCGTCCTAGTCAGCAGATCGGCCATGGCGCCTCCCATGCCCAGCCCTGACTCTGGACACACCAGTAGCCCCTGATTCCTGACTCCCTGGACTTCCGAGGGAGATCCGCTAACCCATCATAACATCCAAGTACAATTTCATCAGGCGCGCCACACCCCAGAACTTGGCATGTTTTGTGCTTTTATGCTTGCGGGAACACATATGCACATCCGCTTAGACCAGAGCAGACTGGTTTCAGCAAGCAGCACAGCGATGCCGATGCTTCACCTGGAGAGAAGACCGGGTGTTGCACGGACCTCAGCTCGAGTTAATACCTTCAAACCGTCTATACAAGAGGTCCTGGTGGCACAGGGGTTAAGCGATCAACTGCTGAACTTCTGTTAGCAGTGTGAACTCAGGTTTTTTTTCCCGTGACAAGGAATTTAAGTCATGACCTCCCCCTGCCCCCATCCTGCTCTCCCTTCCTGGGAATGGAGGGTCAGTAGCACCCGGCTGCGCATCAGCGAGAGTTTGGCCTGGTAGGGGACAATGAAGACAAGTCCAGCTCTTGAACTCAGACTCCGAGTTCCTGAGAGGCCTGTCAAGGGCACCACCCACTTCCTCCCCTGCACCCCACACCGCTCCTCTGACAGTGAGGCAGCTAGAGAACCTGCCCTTCCCCATCTCGCCTTCAGAGGGCGCATCTCTCCCACAGAGCAGAGCAGGTGCTGTGGGCCCGACCACAAGGGAGGTTTAGGGGGAGGGGTTCTTACAAAGAGCTTGGCGAGGCTGCTATGGGTGGTATGATGAATGCAGCCCTGGTGGCATAGTGGGTTATGCATCGAGTTGCTCACTCCAAGGTCAGCAGTTCACATTTATCAGTTGCTTTAAGGAAGAAAGATGAGGCTCCCATAAGGATTTATTCTTGGGAATCTAAAGGGGGCAGTTCTATTCTGCCCTGTAGTCTGGCTATGAGTCAGAATCGGCTTAGTAATTTTGGTTAATGGATGATGAGAGGCCCAGTCCTCCTGTAGCTCCCAGGGACAAGGCCTTAGAGTACAGCCAGAAACCCAGCAAGCACCCCACCTCTCTGAGACCAGGTCAGCGGGACTGACAGATCCGAGTCCCCTCCCTTTGCCCTTGGCAGTCTCGTGGATTAAGTGACCCCCACCCTTCTCTAAGGCTCCAGCACGGCCTTGGACTCCACAGTGCCCACTGGCAGTGGGCACACTGGGATCCTGTCCCACTTGATAAGGACAAGGCCCCAGGCTTTGCTCCTCCTGAGTGCCTGGAACCGCCCTTCTTCCTTCCCACCTGGGTCAGCCGTGCTTTCCTCCACTGTCCAGTCATTGCCATCCCTGTTTCCTAAGGGCACACATTTCCTCGGGTGAACTGCTTCCCCCCTCCCCACGCCCCCCATTGCGTCAGGAGTAGAGGGACTATTGCTGGGATGCTGACCCTTTTGTGAGCAGGGCTAGTCCGGCTCTCTGCGGGGAGCTTGATCCCCGAGGGACGTGTCCTCAGGTGTTAAACTAGGTGTGCAGTGTCTGTCCCGTGCCTGCTCCCTAACAGCTGGGCCGAGCTGTTCCCCGGGCTCCGTCCCTGGAGTGGCTCTGGCTGCTGTTCTGGTTCCTGGGCTGGGTCCAGGGTGGGTGTGCCAGCCTGCTTGTCACCCCGTCTCACCACTGAGTGCTGTCTTGTGGTAGGAGACGAGATGGTCTCTCTGTTTGGAAAGAGCTCCAATTGATACAAGTATGTATGTGTTGCTTCACCAACTTTGTTTTTTAAGTATTGCTCACGGGGCCAGCCACTTTTAGGTGCACACATATGAACTCATTCATCCCCGTGATCATCCAGGAGCTGTGTACCCCCAGCATCTCCACTCTACAGCTGAAACGGTGAATACAAGGGCAGGTGGGAGGCTTGTGCAGTCAGAGGAGGGAACGGGGTGTATAGCTACATGCTCCATTTCAGAATCTGGCCCCGGGAGCATGAGGCCATGCTACCTGCTCAGTTCAGACCGGTATTTCTCATGACACCAAAAATAACCCAAAGGAGAGGAAACTGCGATTGAGGCTTGGTGGAAAATGAAAGCTATATTAGGATCATATAGAGCAGTGGTTCTCAACCTGTGGGTTGCGACCCCTTTGGGGCTCGAATGACCCTTTCACAGGGCTCACCCAATTCATAACAGTAGCAAAATGACAGTTATGAAGTAGCAACAAAAATAATTTTACAGTTGGGTGGGGGGGTCACCACAACATGAGGAACTGTATTAAAGGGTTGCGGCACAGAGCAATGTCCAAGACAGTACACACACAGGCACACACACTACAAAGACTAGAATAATTTCTTCAACCTATCAGCCAGTGTTCTCCTTACCTGGAGAGGACTACCCGGCAGTGTACTTCTTGGTGGTAGCAGATGTAGGTGGTCCAGCTCAGCCTGTACTTTGGAGGAACGCCCTGGACATGCCTCGAATCATTGGAATCCTAAAACTGTCACCCAATGGCAGGATCGTAAGATTCATTTCCCAACCTTTGGAGCGCATGTGATTCAGCAGGGCCAGTATTTGGCCCTTTGGGGCTAATTAACCTGCATTGTTGGTCGCTGCCTTTGCATGCATTTCAACTCACAGCAACTCCCTGTGTTGGGACACAATGGCCCCATATGCTTTTCTGGGCTTTACGGTTGACAGCAGTCGACCTTAAAGTCTTTCTTCCTGGGAGCGTCTGGGCAGGTTCCGACGGTGAACTTTTTGGGCAGCAGCCGGGCAATCGACAGACAGCCATCACTGAACTTGAACACTAAAGGACAGAAGGTCCAAGCTGTCTTCATTCAAGCAAGAAGATGAGAGACCACTCTATCTTTCCATGAGGGGCAGAAGGACCTTCTTGTAGGACCTGTAGAGGGAGGGGGGGTCTGGAGGTCAAGGGTCTCAAAGACATCTGCCCAGAGAGCCTTGTTCTGAGCTTCGTGTCCTTGCTCCTTCCGGATCTGACTTTGGCACGAGACCCCCCTGACCTTAGAACTCAATCTTCTCCGAAGGTCTGCCATCTTCCACGGAGGATGCTGGGCCCGGGCTTCCCGATGTAGGGGGGCCTCTCTGTGGGTGCTGCCCAGAAACCTTGATGGATTCTACTAGTAACTCTGAGTCTGTTACCTACTGTTTCCAATAAATGTATCAATGGCCTCTGACCAAAAGCCACACAAATCCACAGTTCTTACAGTTATGTCTCCATTTTTAAATGTGCAATAATCGCACCAGCTAGTGCCTTCCTGTCACCTGCATGCCCTTCAGTCACCACAGGGGAGACTCATGGCAGTAACACTATTACGACTCCTCAAGGACCATGGGCACTCGCCCATCGCCATCTGGTCAGACGGTGACTTTATTCCAGAATCCCAGCCTAAGAGCCTGCTTTCCAGCATCATTTCTGGCTGGGGTTCCCAGGAGTAGAAAGTGTGATGAAATGCCACAAGCGAGTACTTTATTATGAGGGTTCTCTCAGCAAAGGAGTGGGGGAAATATGATTGGGGGAGGGGAGGAGGAAGCTCGAGAAGGCTGCCACATCGGGGAACAGGGCCAGTCTGACCCACGGGGTCCACAGCGGCAGGACTCTCACTGCCTGAGCTCCACCAGGAAGGACCGTGCTGTGACCTCCGAGTGAAGCTGGTTCCATTTGGCCCAGGGTGATTCTGGTGAGGGGCAGCCTTAGCAGTCCACATGCGGAGAGAAAAGAGTGGATGCGTAGGCCTTCCCAGAAAAGGGTGCTTGGCAGGGCACCTAGACCAATGACCTCGTCTCAGTCATATTCTGAAAAGGGAACACTTCTTTGAAATTCTTCTCAAACGCAGCCTCCAGCCTCAGTCCCATTTGTCCAAAGTTCTTGTACTGGAAAAAAGAGGACAAAAGAACCATGGTTAAGGTCCTGAGATACCCGAGAGCAATAGTAGTAAGGCTAAACTGAAACCCAATTCAAACAAAACAAACTAACAAACAAAAGGGAAAACACTGGTAAAGATAGAACAGTAACTTCTATTTTCTGAGACCATAAATATTTCTTATTAACTTGGCTGCCCTTGGAGCTGTTTACTTATTTCAGAGCGCTGGCTCCAGTTATAACTTTAGATTCCTCCTTCCCTCGCCTAATCAGTAGAGAAGCCATCAGTGTTGTAACGACAGCACAGTCCAGCACCATCTGCGGTAACATGATGGTCTCCTCCTTTGCCCACAGTCACCTCCATTGCTCAGATGCGCCCGTGAACTATCTGGATCATTACTGAGAACTGCACGTCTAACAGCATCTGGACTTTGGGAGAAGTTTGATTCAGTGTATTTGGGGGAAAGGAGAAGCCTAATGGGACTTGAACATGTGATTCTCTGTAGGGCATTCTCCACTACCTTCTGGAATCCTCACTCGTGCATGTTTGCTACACATCCGGCATGAGAGAAACTGTGTAGCCTCCTAGGCCCCAGAACAAGGCGCAGAGGGGCTCCGAAGAAAGCCAAGGAGGCAGAAGCTGGGAAAGCCGCCCACCTTGAAGGATGCTCTGTGGTTCTGAAAGATGAGGCGCATGTCCCTCACAAACTCCTCCACTTGGTGGTAATCCTTCTGATTCAGCCTCTTCTTGATTCTGTTCAGCCACATGGGTTCATTTAGGAGCTGAGAATTCTCTCTATTCTGGGGGCAAAGGGGGCAAGGAAGCGCCATTAGCATCGTTCAATGTCTACCCTTTATGGATTCCCACCCAATCCAGTCGAAATACAGCACGTGAAAGCTAGCAACACTGTGTGCTCCTCAACCCCCCTCCACTCCTCCTGATTCAGCTCACACATCACACCACCGACCGTTTCAGGCACACACAACAGGGCAAACTGCAGCCACGGCTTGTTGTTACTTACGTAATAGTAATATGGAATTTTGGCAAAAAAGGAGCTCTCTGAACAGCAATAGACTTTCAAGAGGAGGAATTCACATTTCTGCAAAAGAAGGAGGCTGTAAATGAGCAGCAGCTTAGAGGCACGAGCCCAGCCCACGCTCAGACAGAGCCCATGACTCAGCAGGCCGGTCATCCCGAAGGGTCCCCAAGCATGGGGGCTCTTGGTCCCGAGAGGTGTGATGACAAGCTGTGGTGTCGAAGCCACGTGATTCGGCCTGACTGGAGGAGCACACCCCTTTGGGGTGCTTTGTGCCGTCTGCTTCTCTTGGGTGACGGCAAAGGACAAGGCTGGGCTGACGTGCAGTCTACTCACCAACTGTTCCTCAGGCAGCATCTGCCTCTCCAGGGCCTCAGACTCGTGCTGACACGGCGGGCTGCCTGGGGCATCCTTCATCCTGCAGAAGATGCAGCTCCAGGGGTCCCTGAGAGGTTGGGGAGAAAGTGGGCTGTGTGCAAGGCTCTGGAGGCATGGCGGACACCTGTGTACTCTCAGGAATGGGGGTGAAGGACAGCTCTCAAAGTTTCCTACTCAGACCCCGACATGGGGACTCAAGCCAGTGACCCTCTCCATTAGTGGGTTTGCCAGGGTACCCACAGAGGTGGCATCTAGGTGAATGAAGGGTTCTTCACACCCCATGTGAGCTTCTGGGAGCACAAGAAGCCCTGCCAACAGCATCTGACCAATAGTGGGTCAGTTAAAAAAAAAAAAAGAAACATTTTATTGGGGGCTCTTACAGATCTTATAACAATCCATACATCAATTGCATCAAGCACATTTGTACATATGTTGCCATCATAATTTTCAAAACATTTTCTTTCTACTTGAGCCCTTGGTATCAGCTCTTTTTTCCCTCCCTCCCACCCTTGTAAACTCTTGATATGTTATAAATTATTATTATCTTCATATCTTATACCATCTGCTCTCTCCCTTCACCCACTTTTCTGTTGATTCCCCTTGGGGGTGGGAGGTGGGGTTATACATCGATTTTTGTGATTGGTTCCCCCTTTCTCCCCCTTGTCTTCCCACCTTATCCCTACCCTCGGGGTATTGCTACTTCCATTATTGTTCCTGAGGGTTTTATCTTTCTTGGATTCTGTGTGTGGAGAGCTCTTATCTGTACCAGTGTACATGCTCTGGTCTAGCCAGAATTATAATGTAGAACTGGGGTCATGATAGTGGAGATGAGGAAGCATTAAAGAACTAGAGGAATGCTGTGTGTTGTGTTGGTGCTATACTGTACTCTGGCTGGCTCGTCCCTTTCTTGTGATCCTTCTGTGAGGGGATGTCCAATTGTCTACAGATGGGCTTTGGGTCTCCACTTGGACCTCCCTCGTTTGCGTTGACATGATTGTTTTGGGTCTTCTGATACCTGTTACCTGATCCCGTCAACACCTTGTGATCATACAGGCTGGTGTGCTTCTTCATGTGGGCTTTGTTGCTTCCCTGCCAGATGGCCACTTGTTTAACTTTAAACCTTTAAGTCCCAGATGCTGTATCTTCTAATAGCCAGGCACCATCAGCTTTCTTCACCAGATTTGCTTATGCAGCCATGCACCTTTATGTCAGGAAGGTGAGTATCACAGAATGCCAGGTTATTAGAACAAAGCATTCTTGTGTTGAGGGAGGACTTGAGTAGAGGCCCGATGTCCATCTGCTACCTTGATACTTAACATATAAATATACGTACATATATCTATATCCCTATCATTATATATGAACATATTTACATATATACATGTAGAGGGTCATTCTTAATCCCTGGAGGACTCATGCTTTTGTCAGCCTAATTGGACTAGGGTGAAACACAGGGCTGGGTGAGGTTTCTTGACTTCTGAATTAGCACAACCAATGGCCATTTTCTGTCCCCAATTCTTAGGGATAGGAAGGAGTCCATGCTTCATAACATCTCAGAAAAGACTGAGTAACAAGGTAAAGGCCATGGGCCCACTCACTGGACTCCATCGTCATAGAGCCACGTGTCTCTGATAGACAGAGAGCTGCCAGCCCTGTTGAAGAACTGTGGATGATATCCTTGGGGACAGGCAGGAGGAAGGGTTTGTAGTATGAGGGGAGGAAACAGGGACAGTGTCTCACTAACCTCTGGACTTCCACAGGTGGGATGTGACATTCCTCATGAAAGGATCTGGAACAAGTGTCACAGCAGAACAGCGTTCCCCTTTGCCGACACACCTCACAGTCATCTGAGTTTTGAAGCTGAAAGGTTAAATAATGTCCACAACACTGGCATCAGTGAGACCCCCAGAACCCACACAGCGAGGATCTAGAACACACTGCCTGGAGATGCTCAGCATGGGCATCTACAGGCTGCTCCCAGTGAAATGAGGAACCCACACTATGTGGGGTTTATAGACAAGGCATTCTGGTCTGCAGTGAAGTCTAGGAGGAGGTGGCTGGGTATCAGACCAGAAAAGATCTCTGTATTAGTTACGTACTCTGGTGTCAATTTGGGGACTTGGAGGATTAAGAGTGAAAGGGGTGGAGTCTAGTCTGTCAATCGGGTCATAGCCAGTGAGGCCTCTGTGTGGGTACGGCCTTCTCCTGAGGATTCTGGGAACTCCTGTATTTCCTTCTTGGAGATGGGAGACACATTCTCTACTCACTCCGTGGGAGACTTTCTACTGACAAGGCTCACTCCCTGCAAGACATTTCTGAGGAGAAGCCACTGAAGCTACCCTGTGGCAGTTAGAATTTTGGAGCTGAAGGAACCACGTGGAGACCCCTGCCAGCACTGAGATGCTTACAACGCCAATGGATCCACAAGACCTCCAACCCACTGGCCTGTGATCTTCCTGCATTCAGCTTCATTGCATGTGTTTTGTGAGTCTGAAGAGGCCTTTATAGATTGGTATCGGGCATATGGGCTAATATTGGACTTAAGGGCTTATGATCTGGGCTGGGCTGGAATGTTTTCCAATTGCTCTTGTATCTAAAGCTCTTTCTTATACACATATAAGCGTGTCTGTGAATTTGTTCCTCTAGTCTACCCAGACTAACCCAATCTCCTTGTAAAAGCAAAGGTCCTCACACTGAGAGACGAATAGCAACAGAAGATGACAATTACAGAGGACTCTGAATAATGTTAATTTCCTGCAGATCCAAACAAGTTTCCGAAATAACCCAGTAAATCCATTGGCCTGTTTTCTAGTGACTAAATTGACTCATGGAAGGGTGATTTACTGAGAATTTAATATGATGGATTAAACTTCTTAGAAAGCACTACATTCTGTTTGCTACCATAAAAGTAACATAGACCTCTGATGTGAGGAGTTTATAGACCTCTCGTGAGGTGAGTGGACACAGCGGCTGCACAATGGGTTCCAACAGAACCACAGTGGTGAGGACGGCCCAGGACCAGGCGGTGTGTAGTTCGGTTGTACACAGACAGAGCTCCTGGGGTCCGAGCCAACCAGACGCCAGCTAGCACATGCTAAAGGGACTGACGCGTAGGCACTGTGTATTCATGTCCCCAAACTGCTTAGTGACCATGCCTTTGGGTGAAAGGAAAGCCAGCCCCAGTGGTTTTGTTCATGATAATCCGTATTAACAAGTGAATCAGCAAATATCTGCGGGTTCCTTTTTCCTGGTTCCACCTTCTGAGACCGCTTACAAACACTGGTGGGAAACTCTAGGCTAAGGTAGAACTACGAGGTGCTAGAGAAGTTCCTGCCCTCTCAGGACTGCCTTGGGAGCTCAGGGTGAGAGAGGCCCACCTTGCTGATGAGCAGAGGGTAGAAGCAAAGTGGAAAGTTGAGGAATTGGAAGTGGCAGGGGTGACAGTGCCCACCACTTGCCACCACGGACCATTCTTCTGCAAACACATCTGGTTCTGGGTCGTCACTCTCTGGTGTGGTGTGTGTGTGTGTCTGTCGGATGGGTTGTTTCCTCCTCCCCCACATACCTTTCAAAGGACAAAACCCCTCAGGGTTCTGCTCTTACACCTTGGCCCCACCAGATGAGCACAGTCACTCTCATTGCTCCGGTGACATCTTTAGGTCTTCAACTCCAAGAGGTTCAGTCTCTCTTCTACTCTGACGCACATCCCCACGCCCACCCAGTGTCATCTCTTCGGCTCCTGAAGCACACCTTTGATTTATCTAACCTATCCTCCCATCGGCTAGGTGGTTAGTACTTACAGCAAGGCCGACCATGTCATTCGTGGGAGGCTCCCGTTCTCTCTGTTGAAAACAAGGAGGATTGAAGGACAATCTTTAATGCAATGGTTGCAGCGATCATGTATTTGAACAGCCATCTCTTCAGGGGGTGGAAGTCAGTCTAGCCTATAGTCCATATCTATTTATGTACACCCACGTGTCTACTTGGAGAATAGAAAGTATCAAAGTACCCCATTTAGCCCTGTGAAAATTCCCTTCCTTCCTCTGTATGGTTGCCTACCATCCCATGTTGAACTGCCTGCTGGATTTGGGTAATCTGGATGACTGCGAGGGTGCTTTCCCAGTAGCACAAACGATTAAAGTTAGAAAATGGTAACATTAATGGGCAAATCATTAATGATCCTATCACATTATTGCCACAATCATGCTTGTGTTCCCAACTCTGATGCCCTTAAGACATCTGCTTCTATTGCTCAAACACATCCATGATGTTTATTTTGATGACATATCACCATCTCCATCTTTAATGGTTTAATACCCAAAGAAGACCTAGCCGTTTCTCTAGCATGGCTCAAAGTAGCAACTCAGAAGGAACATATCACGAAAAACAAAAAGAAAAAAGAAAGAAAGAGAGAGAAGAAAAAGAAGCTTAATACCAGCCTTGGTTACATATCATAAAATAAAATTTGTATATATAAAATCACTTAGATGATGATGATAACTTGTAGAAATTACATAATTACCTTTCGTCTCCAGTGATATGTTCTTGGAGGATGAGTTAGAAATCCTTCCTGGTCAATAAAAAAGATCCCAGTGTGTAGTTAGCCAATGCTTCCGTTTTGTGAATCAGGCTCTCCCAATCTCCTCCCAAATATCTCTGCCTGGATGTCCCACTGTCAGTTCAAATGTGAGGTTTCTAAAGGAGAAACCATCTCCCTCCCCTCACTTAGCCTTCAACTGAGGGAAACTGGACAAAATAATCTAGAATCGTTTTCCTGTCCTTTGTCCTGAATGGTTTTCTATCAGGGTATTTTATACCCATCACCTCTTACCCATTCCCACCAGTTCCACTCTGGCTTGAGTCTTTATACAAAGGTCATTTAAATCGTTCACATTTGTTGCCTAACTATTAGGTGTCAGGCAATACGATTATCCTTGGATGTACAAAGATGGTCAAACGTTGATGAGTCTAGAGGGAAAAAGGAATGTATAGTAGGATAACCATAAAGCAGTGTAAAGAAGAGAGCTCTGCTAGCAGGCTCAAGGAATCCTGGGATGAGATGACCGGGACCAGGCCAGTGGGGGACTATTCAGAGAGGGTGATGCTCGAGTGAGTACTACAGATGGAGTATGGGGTTTGTTGGCAGAAAGACATGCCGTAGTTTCAAGGCTCCATGGCTGTCTCAGCAATGTTTCTACTACGTCAGTTCACTCCTCAGAAGACTTCTCTTGTTCTTCGTTGTCTAGATCATGAGTTTGAACTCATGACCCCACTGATAGATAATGCCGTATTGTGCCTATCCACTTCTGTCGACAGACCCAGCCTAATCCTGGCTGATTTTTATACTGCCGATTCTTCTTTTGCTCAGTGCATGATGCTGTCTGCATTCACCCAAGTGAGAAGGACTGGTTTGTTCTTTGATCTCCCACGTCTTTTCCTGAGGGGCTCCTCCTACAACAGTACAACAGGGGTCCTCAAACTACAGCCCTCGGGCCACATGCGGCCCGCTGAGGACATTTATCCGGCCTGCCCGGTGTTTTTGCCCATTTTGTTTTTTCACTTCAAAATAAGATACGTGCAGTGTGGATAGGGATTTGTTCATAGTTGTTTTTGTTTTTTTTTAACTATAGTCCAGCCCTCCAATGGTCCGAGGGACAGTGAACTGGGCCCCTGTTTAAAAAGGTTGATGACCCCTGTCCTACAACATCAATGTGTATGGCCATGGATGTGAGGCCCCTCTGTCCCAAGTGAGAGGAGAAACTCCACGCCTCAGGGTTTTCGCTATAACTGGACAAATATTTGGTGAGTCAACAGTGACCTTATTGGGATGAAACAGAGCGGGGCATAACTCCTGCCCCTCATCCCTGGAATACCTTAATCAGCCATTGTAGAGGACGTCCGCCACAGCGTATACTCATCTTCCAATTTCTTGAGTTTGCGTAACCTCCTCTGACTTCAAATTCTCTTGGGGTGAGCCAGCTTCCGTCCTTGAGCAGTACACACTTGTCTGAGACTGCTGTAAGACCAAGATAAGTTGACGCTGACATGAGTCCCCCAGAGGTCAGAATGGGGCTCACGCCACAGTGGGGCTGGGAGTCAACCAATTAGGGCTTGTGAGCAATAGCGGGAGGTTCTGTCCTCTTCTCTTACAGGAACTCAAGAACTATTCTAAAATCACCCACAAAACAGGTGCCTGCTGCATCTGCACATTTTTTTATTTTCATGCTTGAAAGGCGAAAATAACTACCCAAACCAATCTTTTAGAAGTACTTCCAAATTGTACATGGTGGGAGATCAGGTGATTTCAAAGGATGAGATTTCAATTTGAGTCCTGGGAGTAGAAAACAGGGCACCATCTCCAGGTTGCCATGGGGACTAACCGGAAAACAAAACCTGGAACTGGGTTTCATGGGTTATATGGCTGAACTCTTACTTGGGTGCCCTGAAGTTCAGAATGTCACCACAGAAACATCAGCATCCTCTCTTACACTACGTTTGGGGTCATGATTGAGTTGAGATTTTTCCACCCATGATTTCATGGATAGTCAGTAATAAATAATTAGGAAACGTTATGCATTAGAAACATTAACAGATGTAAAAGTTAGTCGCCTGCTCAATACCATTAGTCATTAGGGAAATTAAAATCAAATCCACAATGAGATACCACTTCACCCAGTCCCAAACCAAAAGCTCACTTCCACCAAGTTTGATGCCAAAATAACCCTGTGGATGGAGTGGAACTGTCCCTGAGAGCTTCCAAGGCTGCCAATCTTGATGGGAACAGAAAGCCTCATCCTAATCTCTCGGAGCATCTGGTGGCTTCAAATAGATGACCTTGTGCCTAGCGAGGTGTAACCCACTATGCCACCGGGGCCCTTCTTCACCGAGGAGAGTCAAAATAACATAGACATTGACAAGTGTTGGTGACGATGTGGAGAAATTGGAACTCTTATTACTGCCAGTGGGAATGTAAAGTGGCATCACTGCTGTGAAAAACAGGCAGTTCTTTAAAAAAAATTTTTAAGCAAAGAGTAACCAGAAGATCTAACGATTCCACTCCTAGGTATAGACCCAAGCGAACTGAAGCTTGAGTTCTACACGAGCTTTGTACACCTATATTCATCATCGCTTTCTTCATAACAGTCAAAGAGGGGTCCCAATCCAAATGTCCCTCAATTGATGAATGCTATTATCCACACAGAGGAATCTTTGGGATCCCGTCGCCTTTTCTTTCTTCCTCCCTTTCTCCTTTGCTGAAGCCAAGTGTGGGCTCCCTTGAGTTCCTTTAACAACGTGAGAGTCACCTGGGCCATTCCTTTACTTTTGCGGTCCCTTCCCGTGGAAGATGCGACTTGCAAAAGACCATGACACCCACCTTGTCCCAGTTTCTCCTTATGTAGCGTCCCCGTCACCTCACCACAGCTCACTGGAAGTAGAGGGGAGTGAAAGTCAACAGTTTCATTGAGGTGCTTTCTTAAACCTGAAAAAGAAGAACTCGTCGTCCTTGTTGCCATGGGCACACCTGCCTCTTCTTTGGCTGAGGTCCTTCCTAAAAAGACAGAGGGGCTCTTAGGAAGCTTTATTCAAAAACAAAACAAAACAAACAAAAATCTCTAGACCTGCCAAGTCTTTCTGCCTGGTGGATTTCCACAGAATATCGCTCACCATCTGACCCCTCGGTAGTTTATACAAAACAGAGAGCTCTAGCAGAGAAACCAGACTTTAGTAAAACCATATTGATCCCCATCGATTCTCAGGACAATGAGCACACTGCTGGCGTCACTGTTCTGAAGGTCGCGCTGCAGCTGGGCAACCTTGTCAGAAGCTGTTCTCGTCGCTCCCCACTGGAGTTCCGACCGGATTCCCTGCTGGAGCAGGAAACGACGGCCTGGACAGCCCAAGGGAGAGGGTTTCTAGTGCGTAACTTCTATTGCCATTCTCTGCTTGGCTTCGTTTTTCTTTCTCCTCTGCTTTGTCTGTGGCTTAAAAGGAGCGTGGAGAGCGCTAGCACAGGGAGAGGGCCACGTGGGACATGGCTTTATAGACAGGAAGGTTAAAGGTCTCACGCCAGGAGGATGAGCAGCTGTCCCTGCTCTTTCTGTTTTTCATATAAGCGGTTTCACTGGGGCTCTTACAGCTCTTGTACCAATCCACCCATCACTTGTATCAAGCTCATTTGTACCTGGGTGGCCACCGTGGCAAGCTGGAAGGTTTTGTTTAAACTAGATTTGCAGGAATATCAAGACTGTGTCTTTCATACTGTTTTCACGTCCCATCAACGCAGGAGTCTACAACCTGCTTCTTTTCCTTTTGCCTCCAGAACTCTGAGTTTGCAGCAGTAGAGGCTGCCCTGGATGCTACCCCATAACCCAGGCCGACACATCTTCATGCTCTGTGGGCTTCGTTACCTTCATACTGCGAGGCTCAGGCTTGGATGCACATTGTCACGCAACTTGTACTCGAGTAGAATCTACCTGTGAGAACCATCTGCGTGTGGGATTCTCAGCTGCACAGTTACAGAGGAAGTCTTGTTCTCAGTTACTCAGACTTTCACTACTCGTGGCCCTGGACGACAGTCGGCTGCTACTCTTTCAAAATTGCTGCAGTGTATGACCTGTGTCCTCATACACTGACCCATCTAGGACAGAATCCCAAGAGTGAGGTGTGGGACAAGAGGACATCAAGGAAGCGAGAGCCAAGCTCCTTCCCAAATAGTATCAGCAGTCACATGACACCAGTAGTCTCATACTGTGTCTGTGTCCCTCCATAAGTCCTTGTTTTTCTGAGCCTTTGTTTTTTTCCACTGTAGATTGAGGAGTTATGTGTGGTCTCACAAGCAAAGGACCATTATTACAGGGGACAGAGATCTTTAGTAAGTTATAACTAAAATCGGGTTCCAGATATTTGAATCAAGAAGCCCTTGTGGCAGAGTGTATTATGTACTGAGGTGCTGATCTCAAGGCCAGCAGTTCTAAACCCAACACCAGTAATCGGGAGAAATGTGAGGCAGTCTGCTATCTTAGAGATATTAAATCTAGTATGTTAGGCAGGGTTCTCTAGAGAAATGAAACCAGGACACTTATTTTATATATATATAGAAATAGGTTTATACAGTGAGAAGGAATATAATAGCTAATTAGTCCACACAGCTGTACAGAGGGTTCAGTTCAACTGGCTTCCGTGGGACAGTTAATATACTGGAAGTCCTTCAACTCACATGGGCTGCTGGGTCCAGGTTAAGGAAGCAAACAGCAAGGTTAAGGAAGCAAGGCCCACAGGCCACAAGCCGCAGGGTGGGTCACCAACAGTCAGTAGCTCAGGAGCTTAGCGAAGCAGGCCCGAGGGGATATCCTACGCTGGCAATGCAAGGTGACGGAATTTCCCAGCCTCAAGCTCAAGTGATGTATGAACCAGCAGCATGGTGAAGCAGGTCTTGAAGGAGCCTCAAGCTCTACCGACATGATCCACGGGTTGACCTGGCCCACAGGTAGTGCAGCTCACAGGTTGAGGCAGAGGAGTAGCTGCAGCAGCAGCACACACACTCTGATCACCAGAGAGGAGCAAGGGTAGGGGCATGGGTGTGGGTGGGGCTCCAATAAAAATCTGACCTGATTAATCCCACATGTTCCTATTTGCCAGGTTGGCACAATAAACCTATCACATCTAGAAAGCTCAAAGGTGCAGTTCCACTCTGTCCTGCAGGGTACCAACGAATCAGAGTGGAATCAGTGTCAGTGCACATCTATGTTGGTTGGATCACCCCCACCTCAAATTCTACATTGAAGGCTCAACCTTATTGTGGGTTAAAGTCTCTTGTGGGTCATCTCAGCCACAGGTTGCAGACCTCTTGGACCCTACACTCCGGGTGGTGGCTCATGGTGAAGGTTCTGACACTACGTCTCTCCTCTGTCCCCTGCTAGTGTACCTGTGGCTTCAACAAAGATGTGGATGAGTCCGACCTCAGGCTGACCATCACACCTAAGCTTGAAGGGGAGAACGACTGCTTCATGTGGGCTTTTGAGTGGGGAAGGATCGGGACAACCAACATACCTGTTGATCCGTATGTGAGCATAAGCTACCCTGTAGTGCCACACACTCTCCCAGCCCCGCCTTCTTCATCGTCCTCACGTAGTGAGGCACAGGCTGTCATGCACTTTGTCATCCCACTTTTAATCTAGCACAAACCACCATCGTGACTCCCACCCCCCATGCCCGTGTCCGGAGGTGTGTCCCGTCTCAGCTAGGAGATTAGTCTCTAGCCAGGTTTTGGAGGAGAAATCTTGGAAATGAACTCCGTGGTAGTGAAACGTTCGTTCACTGGGTTTGTGAGGCAAGAGAAAAGGCAGTCACGTGGGGAACTTTCCTTTTGCAGCACCAGAGCCAGGTCTGGGGCCTGCTGAGAAAAGACCTGAGCATCTGGCAAGTGGAGCAGACACATCCCTGGGGCCACGGCCAACACCCCACAGGCGGAGGAGCTGTCTACAGTGAGCTTCCCGTTTATTCCCTCACCTGCTCAAAGCACAGGTCCTGTCAGAGGGCAGGGCGTCTCCTGTGAGCCACCTGCAGAAGGAGCTCCTAAATGTCTGACTGGTGCCCCTCAGGCCCTCATGGTGATGCAGCTGGTCTATGGGGCTCCATGCCTGTTATTAGCAGCTCTATACATGCCATGGGACAAGCACCCTAGTGAAGCTCACAGGGTATTTCTGGGACACCTGAAAACCCGCAGCTAATTTCCATCCACAAGCTGCACCAGCACTGGGAACATCTTAAGAGAGTCAGCTTCTGCCACCGTGCTCTGCGTGGAATGAAATGGAGAGCCAGTTCTCTTAGGCCACCTCCAGCACTGCCTCCTGGCTTACTGGCTGAGGTTTCCCCAGGCCCCATGGCAACCATGGAGATGTACGGAGCACCTGGTCCTCCTTGCAGCGCTCCATCCATCCCACCTGATGAGCGGGTGCTGGAGCGTCAGATTTTGATGGTGTCTCCTGCGAAAGTAGACGGGCCACTGCTTTGTCAAATCATGTTCTGCAGCTGAGCCACAGATGCTCCGGGACAACCTGTATCACTTTTTTTGGAGACCGAGAGCCTTCCACCTGAAGCAGGTGAGATATCACTGGCGCTTGTCTCTCATGTTCCTACAACAACATTAGAGTGTTCTCCAGCACCTGGTGGTTTTACACCAAAACGAGTCAGGAAAAGCTGACTCTCTCTGAGAGGGCTGGAAACCTGGACCCGGTTTCTGTGCCACCTTCAGGATTGGCTCAAGTAGCATTGACTGCAGTGGGGGGGTCCTCATCCTCAAGTCCCAGTCCCAACACGGGGACCAGCTTGCAAACCAGCTAGGTGGCTGGAATTCATACCTGCAAGACCTCATCAGTAATGTTCAAGAGCATCAAGTTATGCCCATGGCGCTCCTCCAACAGCTGTGGGGCTCAGGGTAGGCTCTGTTCATCCAGTGCCAGCCCTGTCTGGGCAGCTTAGAGGCAGTCCGCAGACACATTTCCTAGAGAAAGCTGCTCATCCCCACCAGGGACAGGCATGCCACAGCCCATCGCCTTCCAATCCCTTGTTTCAGGGAGTATTTGTTGGTGGTATTTACCTTAGTTTCACAGCTTTCAGATGATAATCCATTGATTTCTTCTTTCTTTTTTTCATTAGAAGCCCTTGACCTCTTCCACTTCATCCCTGGGGGAGCCCCTTTGCCCCCGGGACAGTTTGAGCCCTCCCCTTGAGATTTTTCTGCAATGCCCATCTCTCTTCTTGTGCCTCTGTCTTTGAGACATGACTCGGCGAGGAGCCATCGTCTAGTGCCTGTCCCCACCCCGTGAAGCTCCTTCATGCTGCCCCCGTGGAGGATAGCCAAGACAGGAGGCCTCCTACTGTAATCTGACCACAGACCTGAGAAGCAGTCTGAAGCAGCACAAAATAGCCCCATCCAACAGGATTCAGCCAGTGGCTCTTGCCCCTCAAACTGTCAAGGATAAGGATGCGCAGTGACTAAAGGATTCAGGTGCTTTGGACCAGTCTCCCAAGTCCTGTCAAGTGCTGCACAACACAGCTAAATTTGCCTTCTCCTGCAATTTCCCATAAAGAGCGAGTCTATCACTCATGATTACACACTCACCATGGCTCATGGAAGAGGCAAAACCTACTCCCAAGTCCCCCAGCCAACGGCCATGAAAGGGAAGGATGCATGGAGAGAAATGAACTAAGCCAGCATCTTTCAGGAGATCCATTGAAAAGACTTCTCAATGCTGCCCAAGATGCCTTCCTCATCCAGAATCATGCTTGTCAAAGACTACAGGAAGGGCTTCAAAGAGAAACGAGTATTTCTTGGCTCAGCATTCGCCTATTCCAGCTGTAGCACTTCTTGTTTTACACTTGTTTTTCTCAGGCAGTTCATGACCAGGGGCTCCGGGACAACCTGTATCACTTATTTTTTGAGACCGAGAGCCTGCTGGAGGGTCACTTTGTGGTTTGGGCCAGCCTCCAGAGCAGCGGAGAGAGCACGGCTCTCTTCCATTTCAGAGGACGAAGGGCCTTTCTACTGTTCCAGTCACAGGAAGATCGGATTGCTGCAAAGGATTATCACGATTCATCATCATGAGTGTTGATGAATGGGAAAGCCCCTGTCCCATTTTGCATGTTCTGCAGTACACCAAGGCAGGAAGCCAGACACGCCAGGTGGCACAAGTTTGGGAGCATAGTATTCTTTGTCCAGGGTGTGTTTTTGCCTATTGTTCACAGGCTTCTCTGTAGCCACTCCCACAAGGGGGTTTCTTTGGATATCCAAAATGACCCCAGGGCTGTTGGTGTCCAGGGCCTGCCGGAAGGCATTCGCTCCTTCATTCGTGAGGCCCCACGGCTACAGGTCGAGTGCTCTCAGCCGCAAATCCTCACTAAGAGATTCAGCAAAGACACTTGTGTCCAGATCACCAATGAGTGTGTTGCGGTTGAGACACACCGTAAACCGGCTATCCAGATGAGATCAAGCCTCCTGCAGCGAAGACTCCCAGCCTCCGGTTTCTTCATGCCTTCTCGTGGGCTGAGACTTTTAAGATCTTGGCCAGGCGATCCACTCCTTGCCACGTCAGATGGCATCCTGCGAAGTTCACAGTCTTCAGGGCGACAGGCTTCTTTATACCTTTGACAAAGGTTTTCGAATGCTCCGTCTCCAATGCTCAGACTGTTAGCAAGGGACAGGTGTGCCAGATACCTGTTTGTTCACTCCCTTGAATGGAATAGTTCAATCTCTCTCTCTCTCTCTCTCTGCCCGCCCATTCAGTTCCGGGTTCTCCAAAGCACCTGAGACATAGAAACTGCCTGGCACAGCTTCAGAGCAGGTAGGGGGCACCCCTTTGGAACTGCCTGAAGGAACGCCACTTCGGAAAACCTTCCTTCCATCAGCTGCGTCTCCCAGCCCCAGCTGGAAGCAGCTCTTTATAGAGATCAAGGGCGGATCCTTATTCATCTGGAGGGTGGTCACCAGAGTCGATCAGGTCCAGCACGCCCTCGCAGAGGCAGGCGGGGAGAGGGCCCTGCAGCGCGGGCAGGTACCTGGAGGGCCAGTCCATGTCAGCCAGGCTGTCCCCAGCTCCACCGGGTCCACCATGGCCAGAGGGGTCTGCCCAGCCCACGCCCGCACTGCCCTGGGTACCCCGACCTTGCCGCCCACCACCCTCCCGGGGCCCCTGCCCCACCGGCTGCCTCCCCACGCAGTGGCCAGCAGCCGCGGTCCGGCCCACGTGCGGCCGGCCCCTGGACGCCAAGCTCCCGCGGGCGGCCGTTAACGCCCGCCTCCCGTTCTTGGCAAATGCTGCAGTTCCAGCCAGTGGCCCTGCCTCTGCTGCTTCAGCGCACCCGAGGGAGGCTGTCTCCTCCGGACAGGAGGGAGAGTCGTCCGTGGTCCTGCGATGCTCCGGGTCTCAGCGCGGGGCTAGGCAGAGCTTGATCCTGGTTTTAGTCACTCTCGGGCTTGATGGTTGAGAAAGTGAATGCCAAGTCAAGTGACAGGCCCAAACCCACAGGGTCAAAGGGGAAGTTTTAGGATATGACACTGACGGACGCTGGGCCAGCTTGGGTATGCCACCTGTGCTCTGTGTAGCAGGAGGAGGGCCAGTTAAACAATTCGTGGGTGATTGGGTATCTTTCATATGAGCAGGCTTAAAACTGTTTGTGAAAAAGTGGAATAGGATGATAATGGGCATTTCCCTTGAAGCCCCTTGTATGCCAGTGCCTTCACTCAGAAGGGATCCACTCAGTCGGGGACAGCCCTGCCGTGGCCCCCGGCCACCAGGGTCTACTTGCAGATCCATCACCCAGGTACTTGTCTATGGCGTTAACATGCTGTGGGAATTGAGTCGATCTTATACACTTCTCAAGAATGAGTATAGCTAGCTAAGCAATTACAGAAGTATGTTTATCAATAAAGTGGGATAGCACAAGATAATTTAAATGTTTATAACGATCAGAAGGGTTTTCTTTACCTTTCGGACGGCCTCTTTTCCTTGGGACTTTGGTTCCTTGAGTTAATAAATGGATCCTAGGTTGGCCTCTCTTTATCCCTGAGAAAACAGAAGAAAAAAGAAATTGTCCTAGGCCCAGATAAGCAAGGAAACTAATGGTGCTTTCAAAAATTTCCGCTAACATAATATTTTTCCAAGATGTTGTCAAATTAACAAAGGAAAAATGCATAGCTCCTACTTTTAAGCTACTGAGACATTGCTAGCATACTTTAAGTTCACCCCATATTTCACTTTCCATCTCTTCATATAGGTTTAAAAGATAAAAAAAGAACAGTTGAATTCAGAATTTCACCCATATCCCAAACAATAGAAGGTTAAGTGCCGAGTACCTGCCAAATACTTGTAAATGTACCACTTTCACAAACACAGGAGATAGGAATAACAGCCACTCCTATTCCAGAAAGTCATGCATACAGTCAAAAAATTACAAAATCCACTGAAGTCCTTGTAGGTTTCCTTTATTAGAAAACTGAACCAAAGAAAACCCCAAATCACTGCCTTTGAGTGAATGCTGATGCAGAGCGACCCTACAGGACGGGGTAGACTTTCCCCTGCGGGATTCTGAGATGAAAACTCTTTATAGAAGTAGAAAGCCTCATTTTTCTCCCATGGAGCAGCTGGTGGTTTCCAACCATTGACCTTGAGACGGGCAGTCCAGCAGTACCCACTATGCCACAGGCTCATCCTTTAGTAGAGAGGGAAATATAGGGGAGCCCTGTGCATTAAGGGAGATCCTTCATGGGTTTCTCAGGTGAGGTCCAGGCTACTCACCTCACCTGGAATGAAGGTCATTTATACATTTATGCTGAAAGCGATAGGGAGTCCAGCCTGGGGCGATGCCCACCTGGGTTTGGAAAAGGAAGTTAAGCTCTAGGGTTGAGGAAGAGGAATGGTAGAAATTCAGTCCTCCAGAACTTGACTTCAAGTTGTAATGAAGAACGCTGGCGGATGTCCTAACAGGGAGCGTTCTTTCATTTGTGGGGTGATTGACTGTGTTCCTGCATGTCAGATTTGCCATCATTCACGTGTATTTGACGCTGCTGCGGGATGGAACTGCCCAACTCGAGGTGAGATTCCGAGCACAAATGGTTGGTGCCATCCAGGCACTTTGCAGGGTGACCGAATTCGAACTCCCTGCCACTGAGTCCATGCGGAGTCACAGAGACCCGGGAGGACGACTGTTATTGTTGTTGGGAGCAGAGAGCCCTGTCTTTCTGCCACAGAGTAGCTGGTGGTTTAGAATTGGCGACCTTGTACTTAGCAGCCTGCCGCATGACTAGTACGCCACCAGGTCTCCATAATATTCTGCTACCCTGTAACATGTCAGAGAAAGACCTATTTTGCTTAAGTCGTATTTTGGAGCCTCTTTATTAGAGCAGCTTAGTTTATCTCCTAAGTGCTCAGCACAGGGGCAATGACCACAGCCCAGGGGACTGCCGGCCTCCACAGATGCAGTGGACAGAGCTTGTGACGTCCATCCCTTCTGACCTCTTTGAAGTGTGTGCTTTGGTACTTTCTGTGTTCTTTTCCCGGTCTTTGGTCCCTCGAGCAAAAAGGAGCAAAGACAACGGCCTGGAGCTACAAATAGAATTCTAAAGCTTGATAGGTCGATGGGTTTTAAGTATTTTTCCCAGGCTTTGGTCCCTTGAAGAGGATGAAATAGCTAACTACAAGCGGGCAGTGCAGAGGCTGACTACAGAGTTTTAGTTTACTGTATTTTACTCGGCGTGCACCTTGTGCCGCGGCTCAGATGGTGGTGGTTTTAGGGGCCATCGAGTGGGCTCCGACGCACAGAGACTCTACACAGCCAGAATGAGACACGTCAGGGTCTTGTGCCATGATTCCCCATGATGGCTCCTCTGCCCGAGCCCGCTGATGTAGTCACTGTGTTCATTCATTTGATTGAGGGCCTTCGTCAACCAGCTGATGGAAGGAAGCACTTACACATGTATACCAGGAAGTTGGCCAGGTTGCTGTCTTCCAAAAAAATCCTCCCACCACCTGAAGGCAACAGGGAGGGAGCACACCTGGAGAGGGGTCAACACTTGGGAGAGGGAGGTAGAAGGGGTGGCTGTCCCACATTCCTGTCTTCCAGTCTGGGGGCACCAATCGGCCCTCAATGAGACAGCTTAAACTCCAGTGGATAAAGAGCAGTCTTACTGATTTGAAGAAACTGGGGATCAACTACCAGAGAGTTAGCAGTAAAATCTCAAGAGGGAGTGAACCAGAATGGGAGAGCCTTGATGATCTTTTTGACTGCCCACCCATATGTGTGTGGGACCGTCTTAAAGCTCATCAGTGAAAGCTAAAAGGGCAGAACTGTGGCAGGGCTGTCACCTAGCCCAGGAGCGAGTACATTTGCAGGTCCACTGCCTGAATGAAGGAAAAAAACCATGGAAGTTGATGAAATGCCCTGTCACCGCAGTGGTGGGATTTACATGACTGAACATGTTGGGCAAAACTCATCCAGATACCCTTAGAAGCAGTGGTTGCATGCAAATGATAGCTCCATCAATCTGACACCAAAATTAACATGTGGAAGACACAGAGAACTCTCTAAAGCTTGGTTGAAGAATATGAAAGAGACATGAATAAATGGGTACTAGATCCTCCCTGTATAAGTCCCAAGTCTTCCTAAAGTCATGTGCTGGTTTAATATGCTTCCAACCAAAGCCCAAATCGATGTCATAGGGGTTTATTTATTCTACGAGACAAGATTCCTCCTCAGATCTTTCCTAAGACGATGATGGCTTCAGCATCGCTGAAATGGCTGTCATCTCCTCAACGAACCTTTTCTGTGACAAAATATTCTGAATACTTCCACTAACATTCCTTCCAGGACAGACTCCTGGTTTCCCCCACCCCCACCCCCCCAGATCCCAATTCTACCTTACATATCCGGCTGGACCGGAGGATGTACACTGGCACAGATAGGAATGAAGGAAAAAAACATGGAAGTTGATGGACATGCCCTGACCATGCTTTCCTGACAGAAAAACTCCTAGTTTTAGCTTCTTCCACAATCTGGATAGATCGATAACTTTCTAAATCATCAAGCCCTACTTATTTTTAACAAGTCTTCCTCCACTTTATCCATTTTTTCTCTCTCTCTCTCAATTCCCACAAAAACCAAACTCTTGCTGTCTAGCTGAATCCAACTCAGAAGTGGTCCTGCCCAGGGCTATCCTCATCACAGAAGCAGTGCCGTGTCTTTCTCTCCCGGAGGGGCTGGTGGTTCCAAGGGCCCACTTTCCCGTTGGCAGCTGAGCTCTGACCCCTGCACCACCAGGGCTCGTCCCCTGCATTTTCATAGAAGTTGCAAAAAAACAAAAACAAAAAAACCAGGCTTGGGGTAGTCACATACGCACGTGTCAACCTGAAGACATTCTGAGTGAAAGGGTGAGTCTGGCCTGTCAATCAGGTCGTAGCCAATGATGCCTCTGGGTGGGCATGGCCTTCTTCCTCCATCTTCAAAGACAGTAACATGACATCTCTTCGGCCATTCTTCCATTTTATTATAAATTTGAAATCTCTCTTTCTCCACAAGTGGGAAAGGATCTCCATTGTCAAGGGCTATGTGATTAGATTGGGCACATCCAGATAATCCAGGATAATCTCTTCATGGTAGAGTGTTTAACTAAATTCCATGTTCAGAGTCTCCTTGGCCACAGGTAAGGGAATAGATGACAGGTTTCAGGGATGGGATATTTTATTGGGTTGAATAATATGCCTTCCAAAATTCATGTCCATGCCAAACTTCAGAATGTGACCTTATTTGGTAATTGGCACTTCATAGATATGATCAAGTTGGAAAGAGGTCATGTTGGATTGTGGTGGGCCCTAATCCCCTGTCTGGTGTCCTTCCGAGAAGAGGGACATGTGGGTAAACACACCCAACCACATGAGGATAGAGACAGACCATGGAGTTACAGGGGCCAAGGAATACTAGGAAGTAGAAGGGACAAGGAAGGGTTCTTCCCTGGAGGCTTTAGGCTCTGTTGACCCCTTGAGTTTGGCTCCCCAGCTTCCAGAACCATGAAAGAATAAATATCGAGTGCTTTAAGCCACCTGTTTTGTGGTAATTTGTGAACGTATTCCTAGGAAATCAAGACGGATGGTCTCATCTTTGGCAAGGTCATCTCGCCGCCCACCAGTTT